TTTATTACTTTTAATTTGAAAGTCACTAACATAATATCTTTTATTTTTAATTAAAATAAATTTCATCAATAATCTTTTTTAAATGTAAGTACTTTTTTGTATATTTGTTTTATTTTATATAATATAAGTACTTTTTTGGTTCAAAAAATGTTTAGGAACTTTATTGCTTAAAATATGAATGTTCGTTGTTTTTTTTTTCCATGCTTTTTCCATTATTTTACTAATTAATTTTATAGGTCATAAAAATGTATATAACAGGTTTTAAAAAGTCCAATGAGTTGTTTAACAGGTTTTGGAATGTCCAAGGACTTATTTGTTCCAAAAAATTGTCCAATGACATAATCATTTTAAACACTAAAGTCCGTTGGGTTTATTTAGACTTTTCCCTTTTATATATATCTTATTTTTTACTTTATAATTATTTATTGACGTGGAAAAAATAGACGGGACCTACAAAACAAGTTCTTATAAGAACTATTCTTTTATTTATGTCTTTAATTTGATAAGTTGTAAGTGATATTACATGAACTGTAAATACAAAAAGTATGATCTTATAAAAAACTCCATTGGAGATGCTCAATTTCACTTTAAAACTGGTTTTGATTATACAATTTGAGATGAGATCGTATTAATAATGACTTTTTCAAATATGCATTTGATTTATCAGTTGGTTTGAATGAAACTGGTTCTAAATGGTACCATAAAATTTTAGGTTGATTTGAATTTTGGTTACTTAAACCAAATGAACTTCTTATCTGTTAAACCGATGAACAAGTCGGTTCGAATCTTTGATTCATCGTTTGTTTGATTTGATTTGAACCCAATGAACTTCCTTCCTCTCTGTAATGCAGTCTCAACGAATTATCTGCTTGAGAACAATGTCTACAAGGCCCGTTTTTCATTTTCGGTTTTCGATTCTCTTATTAAATACACATAAAAATATAAGGCACTTATTTACCTTAGGTTACACCTATACAAAAATTTATGTAAACATCTTTTTAACATAATTACCAGGTTGGGTTCACGTGAAATCAAGGGTTTTTCGTGAGACCTGTAAGACCAATTTATGTTAATTGATCAACTTTATAAGCTAATGATCTAATGGTCTAAAGTTGCATGGTGACAATTTTGTGATTATGAATGTTCAGATTGTAGATCTAATCAAGGGTTGAGAATTGGTCTTACTGGTCTCAAACATACCAGCATTTCCAACATGTATGTTATATTTCATCTTTCTCTTCTTAAAAATATGAAGATTTTTCAGCTCTTTTATTTTTTTTATCTGTTTTAGAGAAGAGTTTAGTATAATTATTAGAGTAATATATTTATAAATATAGAAAATATTTAAAATAATATAATCATTGGAGATGCTAAAAAATAAAGAAAAGGTAGACAAGGCATAGGCATAGGCATAGGTTTTTGGTGCATAAAAAGGCATGGAGTAGTTGATGACATTCATGCCCTTATAATAACCCTTCTACTTCTTTTCAGGTGTTTGCATGGTAAATATGTTATAAATATTTCATACAAAAATATTTGGTTAATAGTTTTTTTAAATGAAATTCATTTATAACTGATTGGATTGAATTAAAATCTTGAACATCCAAAGCAGTGGCAGATTCAGGAGTTTTGTTCAGTGGGGTCATCTTTAAGGTAGACTAAAGACTTGCAAAATCGTCCGATGTGTTTTTAACCTAATTACAATGTTTCGAGAGATTTTTTTTAAGTTTTTTGGTTGATTTCGAGTAAGGGTTTCGATTTGAGTTGGGGGCTCGTGGAAAAATGTAATGGGGGGAAGTTAAAGGTAAATCATGTAAACCCTAAATTTTAACCTATGATTTTTTTTTTTAGTTTTTGATTGAAGTCCTTTCCTCCCTTTTGCTATTGCATCCGCCGCTGATCCAAAGTCATTTTCTCACACAAACAATATTGTTAAATTAAATGTGACGAGTGTCATCAAAATGATTCATTCGTGTATAATTCAGTTATAATTAAAACTAATTTTTACTATTTACGTGTTTATTTGAACTATTCGAATTGAAAACAATTTCTTGTATAATTTCATACACACACATATACTAGAAGGGTATTCGTGCAATGTAAGGAGATATATATTGATTTTAATATTTTATTTTTTATCTCAGTCGATGTTTTATTATGATATGATGTTTTTATTTTTGAATAAAATATAAATTTGACAAAAATATATCGATATTAATATCAAATTAACTATTTAAAATTCCTTATTTTTTGTGTAAGTTTTTAATTCAATTTTTTATTATAGGTTTAATAACAAAGTAATTTATATTTGGTTTAATAATA